CCCCCCCCCCCCCCCGCCGCCGGAGAAATCTCCCGGATTTTGAAAACCAAATGTTGACAGGTATGCTTTATATAGATATCTATGGTACTACCTTCGGATGCCACGATGCCATCAAGCGGTGTCTCTGGTCGTAATCAGTCCTTCACTGACCAATCAGCGTTCATTAGCAGAATGCTAGCGTGTTATGGGCAACAACAACTCAACCTGTAAGAAATCGAAAGGACATAAGCACTCGTTCATTCAACTTTCGACCTATAACCCATGTTGGACTTGCAAAACCTACATTCAAATCTAAGATTTCTCAATGACAATCGGGTGAAAAAGACAAATTTAGCCGTTTAGTCCCATAGACTCCCATTCATTTTGCACTCGGACTATTCCCCCCAGTGGAACTCTGGTGGAACTACAACCAAAAAGTCGGTACAATAGGACTTAATAGGGAGTGGCCAGGCTTTCCGTAGACGGGCTTTGGCAGCCCTCTACTCGACGCGTCTGCATGAGCGCAAAGGTGCGCGTGGCAAAAATGACGTGATTGTAACAGCGCGCGCGCCTCCGCATCCCCTAGACACCATTTACTACACACAATAGGCTTTTTTTTCTCTGATTTTGAAAACTCTTCGCGATCGACTTAAAATGCTTCCAAGATCGACTTGTCGACCGCGATCGACGGGTTTGTGATTCCTGTAACATACTGTTTTACCGTCAATGACTAATCAGCTGTCTCACGAACTTAACCAGCTCATTTATCCCCACATAGCAAAGCCATAACACAGCGAGGGAGTAGAACTAAGTTACATGAAACAGTCCAACTACATATTTTACACCATTGACAAGGGAAAAGTCACTACTCACAGTGTTTATGGCTAGCTTCCAGGTTTCTGCGGCTTCTCTTTCAAGGTAGTGACGAAACGCGCTCTGTAGCGCTGTTTGTTCGCGTTCGGCTACGGTAGAAACATGACGTCACAATAATGTCGACCCTCATAGAAGGGGGTGCCCGCGGCTATGTAGATATGTCTCATTCTAAGGTAATAAAAACATAACGGTTTATTGAGTACTGTAAGTTATTTATACACCACTGAAAACATAGTTATGGATGTCATATTGCATTTCTGTTAATAGATACTCCAAATTTTTACACATTGCACCATTTCATACAATTCAGCTGCATTTTAGATCATGAAACACTAGAGGGCGCACTACATCTGTAATACACTTCAAATCACACCAGTAATAGACTTAAGAGTGTATTAGTGTAACTTTTGTCTCTCGCAAGGTCTCTCGCTCTCTGCCATGCTCGCGCTATGTATGTTATGCGCGCAGTATGTTCTGTCTTGCATGCGCGCTCTAGATTCCGGCAGATTTTAACTAATTTTCGGGCATCAGGGAGACGCTATCAATATGCGGAAGACTCCCGGGAGACTTGGAATGTCTGCAATGGCACAGACAATTTGAGGAAGTGACGGATACAGCCGTAAAGCAGTCGAATTTTGTAGTTCTTTTTGTGCACGGGTTCCTACCCGAAACCCGAAGTTACATAGTGCCAGTAAAAGCGATACAGACCACGTCAGGCTATGGCAGACGTGTCATTTAACTTATTTTAAGTCGATGTACCATCACAAGGGTCTTGGAAATATATTATGAAGGTTGAAAAACTACATAGTGTTACTTTAAAAGACTTTTTGGTGGTTTCACACTTAATTCTTTACCTTAATTCTTATTCTCCAAAGCAACAAAATATGTATTAAAGTGTTGAAAATGTGTTTCAGTTTTGTTTCTTTCAAACATTTTTGTCCCACTTTATCAAATATGATTGAGAATGTGGGATAGCATGCTTTGGGTAATCTGGGACAGTCTTCAAATGAGGGAAATATGCATTTAGGGACTTTATAAATCTAATGACAAGGGCGTAGGTAGATCTCATTACAACTAGGGGTAGACCACTAATTTTCTTTAAAATTAACTCTAATATAAAGCTAATCAGGGTTTGAAATCAACAGCTTTTCATTTTGCCAAATGCGGGTAAAAATCAACTGTGGCGGGTAACTGTCAAATCACTAGCCAATTTGGTGGGTTACTTATTATTTTTTTCTCACTTTGCTGGGTCTCTCACCTGCAAGGAGTGTTTGTTCCCCGAGTAGCCCCAATTTTAATAGAATGGAGAACTTAAATGAATAACCAAATGAATATGCTTGCTTACGTTGTTAACATTAACAATTTGAGAACAAAGTATAATTTGCACGGTTTTGCGTGATATGATAACTAACTTAAGAGATTGTTAGATTTAATCAGCGCAATGGGCTATATGCACGCATAACTTCCGCGTTTGACGCAAGGATGCTCGTGCGTTTCCGGTTGGGGAGATTTAAAGCGGAGGAAAACCGAGGAAAACGGTATTATGGCAGAGTCTTCAAAATTTACTGTCCTCTCGTCTTTGAAACGAAACTTTAATACGTTTAGATGTAATTTTAGTTATGTTTATTTAATATAATAAACACAGAAGCATAAACAAAATGAGGAGTGTCTGTTTTGTCTGTTTTTGTGACTAACGTTTCTTTAGTATAGCAATAGAGAATAAAAACCAATATAAATTCTCGGTATAGCATTGGACTACGATCGGCGGAAGTAATCCAGCATCTTTAGACCTTCACCGGAAATACCGCCGTGCATAGAGCCCATTTACTGCAATGTCAGAACCAGAACAAAAGTGGATGTTTCTTCGGTACTTTCTTCTTCGGTACTTTCCTGTTATCCGGACCCCACGATGGCCTACCCCTAACCCCGCCCCTAAACCTACCCGTCACTGGGGTTAAGACCAATCAGGGACGATGGCCTACCCCTAACCCCGCCCCTAAACCTACCCGTCACTAGGGTTAAGACCAATCAGGGATGACTATAGTTCCGAAATGGTATATGGTGGGGTCCGGATAACAGGAAAGTACCGTACTAGTTCAGATGACATTTTCCGGTGAAAATTCTTATGTTGGTCATACCTCCAAAAAGAATAATCTGTGATTCTGAATGCCAGTATCCACACCGGCGTGGTGATTGACAGCGGCACACTCTCCTCAAACATTGTGTTCATTCGCGCTGTGCCGTGTCTCAACTCACGTAAAGTTGATAATTCCGCGAATGACTCCAATTGCAGATTTCGAACAGAGATGGCGACAAAGAGGAAAAACGCCGGACTGCAGCTTTAACAAGCAATAGGGATTGTTAAACGTTGATTAATCTAATGGGATTTCAAATTTTCTACTTTTTGTACTTAACTTTTATAAGTGGGCCTTTTATGTAAAAACAAAAAAACACTTTCAGGCAGCTTCTGCATTTATTTGGTGCATGTTTCACTGGATATATAATATTTATTTCTCTTAATTATACATGGGGTTCTTAACTCTGGCTCTCGAGATCCACTTTCCAGCAAAGCGCTCCAGCCCATCAAACACTGGCTATGCTGAAATTGCCCCCTGTACCCTTACATAGACACTATTTGAGGGTACAGCCATTTGTGGTGTCTGTAACCATCAAGTCATGCCGAATAAATTCCCGCGTCTCGCCAGAAGATGGCGCTAGCAGCTGAATCATCCATGCATCCATTTACAACCCGCTGGTCCAAAATGTGGTTACAGCATAATATCAGAGGAATAAATTGATTTTTAATCGATTATTAAATTGTTTAATTAAGGTTTAAACATTCTAGTTTCCATGACAGATTTCAAGATACATATTTTCATTAGCCTTCCATTGGAGCAGCCAGTTTGTGTCCCTGTTCATCAATTTTTTGGTAGGCTATGAGATGTGTCAATTTCTAGGTGTTAAAATGAACTGCAACCTAGTCTTGAATTTGTCATCTGTCTTACTTCATACAAATGAATATGACTTTTCCAAAAGAAAAATATATGTTATCGATTTGTTTTTGTTATTAGGAAAATTTTATATTCATCAAAATAAATGGAGTAACTCCAAATCCAAGTTGTCTCATTTAAAAGCAGCCTTAAAAATGTATTTAGAGTCTGTAAAGTTTTTTAAAAATCGAAAAGCCCAAATATCTGTATTTCTGCTAAATGAATTTTACATGTTTGTGATGCCCTTTATTTTAAATAAAGGGCTTTTTCCTTATTATAATTTTTTTTATTATTGTTGTTGTGTTTCAAGTTATGCTTAAAAAATGTGAAAATGTGTGTAATGTTTCAACAACCTGATATTGAATTTTGTAATTTTGAAAATTCAATTAAAAAAAAAAACAGCAAGCACAAACTATGTCGGCAGCCCTTCGTGCACTCGTGTCCGAATTCACTCCTTCAAGTGGATTAGATAGCCTAATGTAGGTGGGAATATTGAATTTTGAAATAGCCTTTTGTCACTTGTAAGTATTTTGAATAGTTACTTTCTAAGCTTGAAGATCTTGATTAGCTTGGTGTTCAGGTGTGTTTGATTAGGGCTGGAGCTAAACTCAAGCGGGAAAGTGCTTGCAGGCCATTGGATTTATTAATAGATAGGCCTATCTGAAAACCTTTTGTGGTAGCCTAGCTACTGTATGCAAAAATCAAATCTCCTTTGTGTTAATGGACAGAGTTTGGGAATAATAGTTGTATTGAGAACTATTGAATAAAAGCTTGAGAAAATAGAATCCTACATATCAAATTCCTGTAGGGCGTAGCCAGTTCAGTTCAAATTGAATATGACTGATCCAGTGTGATCCTGTTCATTACTCCACGTAGGCCTAGTCTGTAAATGTCGTACGGTTAGCTGCCGCATGGTGGCGATTGGCGAAACAAGATTTGGGGTGGTAAACAGGTGGCAAACCGCAAACGACTCGATTACAAAGTGTGTTCTGTGAGAGATATCTTTAACCAGTTGGGGAGAGGGGCAAGAGTGCACGTGGTAGAGTGTAGGAGGGAACTAGATAGCTATGCGGATGAAGTAGACCTTGGCTATGAAGTGATGAGTCAAGAAGAAAGAAGAAAACAACAACAACAAGGGCAGGATCATCTTTACCTATTCCTCCTCCTCTTTCACACTGCGCGTGCACGGTAACTAACCATGTATTTGCAATGAGCAAACATACGATTCTCAGCAGATGGATTAGGCTACATAAAACTAAAGAAAATGCGGACTGTATAGAAAGGAAGAGAAGGAGACAAAGAGAATCAAGAACATGGCAACACATGTAAGTTGATCTCAGCCCTTGTAGCCTAATTATACAGTTTTATGATTCTGTCTCCTTCGGTTCAAACCTTGTTGTAGCCTACATATAGCCATAGCTATTATTGGATCACTGACAACAGAACCGCATTTAACAAACAAAAAAAAAGTGTAGTTCTCTGAACTTAACAGATTGAGAGCACCTTAAAGTTTTTGCAAACTTAAAAACCCCAAACATATCTGAATGCATTAGTAAACTCAGCTGATCAGCAGCTCAATGTCAAAGCAGGAGGTTTCGGTTTATTTGTGCGCGCGCCCGCGTATTCATCTCATCTGTTTTCTCTACACGGCAGTCAGCTGTCCCACCCACTCTTTTACTTTCCATTTCGCTATTGTTGCAACATCATGTGAAAACCCAGCATGTGACTGCATATTTAACACTCACCACTCTTTACAAGTCCACTCATAAAGCTGCCATCAGACATTCTACAGTTTGTCATTGACCCTTAAAGTCTCTCTTTTTTTTAGTCAAACATGGAGGTAGACCTGCACGGACTGTTTGAGGATAACAAAACCTTCGACTATTACGATTATGAGTACAAGGAGGTGGTCTGCCCGTCCAGCACAGTCTCTGGTGCCTTGGCGGTCTTCATTCCCCTGCTTTACTCTGTGGGGCTCTTATGGGGGCTGCTGGGAAACGGACTGGTGCTGGTAATACTGTGGCTTAAGAGGCTGAATCTGAGTGTGATGGACATCTTCGTCTTTCATCTGAGTGTATCAGACACTCTGCTGCTGCTTACACTGCCTCTCTGGGCAGTAGATGCGGTTAAGGGATGGAACATGGGCACAGGGCTCTGCAAACTTGCTGGTGCTCTGTTCAAGGTGAGTTACTGTAGGCTTCTGGATTGCTCTGATAAGTCTGTAGACTTCACTGGGTTGAATGCCATTTTTATTGTATAAACGGCTACAGCTACAAGATCAGACATGTTTGGAAGAGTTAATGAGACTCTGAAATTCAGGTTAGCATAGTATGGATTGGAATGACAGGCTTTAGATATCAGACAAAATGGATATCTTCTGATGGGATCTGGTAAAGAGACTGTTGTTTTTAGAACAAATAAAGTTTTATGTAATGTGAACTTATTTTTAACAGTGACATGAGGCTATGACGTGAGCTAATTATCTATTATTTTATTCGTAAATATATTAAAAATGTATACTTTAAATTACTTGAATACACCTCTTCTATAATAAGCATGTTTTTATCCATTTTTGATATTTTTGGGGGCATAAAGTCATAAATGTCATGGTGATACAGCAATACTGATATCGGTGAAGAAAAAAAAATCTTTACTATATTTCATATCATTCTTTTTAAATTGTCTGCTGAATCTAAGTTGTTTGGTGTGACCAACAATTTAGTGTTTTTTTCCCTTAATATTTTGCTTGTATTTTGATTATAAGGTCTGTGTGTGTGTGTGTGTGTGTGTGTGTGTGTGTGTGTGTGTGTGTGTGTGTGTGTGTGTGTGTGTGTGTGTGTGTGTGTGTGTGTGTGTGTGTGTGTGTGTGTGTGTGTGTGTGTGTGTGTGTGTGTGTGTGTGTGTGTGTGTGTGTGTGTGTGCGTGGTGTGTGTGTGTGTGTGTGCGTGTGTGTGTGTGTGTTTTATGAAAATCAATAAACGTAAACCTTTCTTGAAAGTTTTTGAAAACCATATGAAACTAACATATGTTTTAAATTGTATTTCCTTTTTTTGTATTGTGGGCATTCTAATTTGTCATTTACTGTCTGCTATAGTATTGTAAATACTATTTACTGTCTGCTATAGTATTGTAAATACTATTCTCTCTTAAAATCTCTTCAGATCAATTTCTACTGTGGTATCTTCACATTGACCTGCATCAGTGTTGACTGCTACCTGTCCATCGTCTCTGGAGTACAGATGTTTTCCTGTAAAAAACGGTGGTTGGTTTACGGTTGCTGCCTGCTTATCTGGATCGTTTGCTTGATCCTTTCAATCCCTGATTGGATCTTTCTGAAGCCAAAGGGTAAAGGGGAATGTATTCACTTTTATACACCTGATTCCTGGCGTCTTGCCTCTCGTTTTCCACATCTTGTGAGCTTTGTTCTACTCGTGCTGCTGTTCTGTTGTTTCTTCGTCCTGCTGAAGCTATGGCACGACTCCAAATGCCAGAAGAAGAAGGGCCGGAGTACAGCTGTAACTGCAGCCCTTGTGCTGGCTTTCTTCGTTTGCTGGACACCCTACAACATTACCTTCATCGTGAACACGGCTCAGCCAGTGAAGAGCGTCTCCTCAGCAGAGGCAGATGAGTGTGAAGGGAGGCAGTGGACAGCTAGCAAAATAACGGCCATTTTTGGGCTTCTCCATTGCATTGTCAATCCTGTTATTTACCTCTGTCTCTCTAAAGAGTTCCGGCGACGCGCACTGACTATGATAAAGTTCAGTGCTTGTAAAACAGACAGTAATGAGGTTTCGCTTTGGGACTCTAGTGGAGTAAACGTTAATGCTTCTGTCCAAGAGGAACAAGGTTCACTTCAACCTATGAATGACATTAAACCAACAATAAAAACACAGGATTATGATACATGAATACAATGAAAACAATAATTGACTGCTGGATGCTCTGAATCTCATAATTCCTGAAATGTATTTTATGAATATTTTATTTAACATAGCACATAGGCATTAGATAATTGACATTACTAGGTATGGAATAATAATGTTGGACGACAAAGAGTCCTCCAGAGGGTTTTGTACATGCATTCTGGTCAATTCTCCATTGTACTAGGTAATGAAGTAAAACATTATGCTCTTATTAAGAAATGCTGGCCAACTCATTTGCACTTCTAATTCAGTAAAATGATCATACTGGTGATTATTGCTCTGTCCAATGTGATATTTATTTTTTCTGTAAGTGTTTTGGAATAATGTTCCGAAACAATATTTGGCATTTTGGCCGATAAGGTGCTTGATAATAGAACTGTTCATTTCCACTTGTCAATTTCAAAATCAGCCTTGTCAATGGATAATACATATTGGCATTGCAACCATGTAAATGTCAACTGTGTTGGATGCATTCATGTATGAACCATACATTTATTTTTCATATAAAGTCTGCTGTATTTGGGAGAAATAGTTTTGAAATGTGTCCGAATTTCATCACCACGCTGCATCAGCGGGTCTGTAGATGAACAAGATATCATTTCTGCTCTCATGACAGGAAGTCATGTCAGTTTCTTAACAATGACATGTTTTTTTTAAATGTCTTTAGGTCAGTGGTCTCTATAAGGGTGGGTCTCGTCACTTACATGAGTGTTAGGAAGTACATGAAGGAACACAGTGCTATTTTAATGTCCCAAATTCTTATCTTCACTTTGAAGTGAAAGATAATGTTCTGCTACTTCTGTTAAACTGAAAATATCAAGTAAATGTTTATGAAAGAAAAAAATATTAGAAATAAATTTTGGTTTATTAATTGCTCGTCAAATGAGGAATAATGATTTGACGTTTTTGTAGTTTCCTGTGAGATGGGGTCATGAAAGATTCTTTTCCCATGTTACATAAGCAAGTTTGCCTCTAAAATATTTTGGGGGGAAGTACCCTCTTACTGTGTAATATACATAGCACTTACAGGGTGAATTGGTAATTGGGAAAGACCGTTGTTGGGATTTTCAGGCATAAATAGTTTTCCCTTCTCATGAGTGGAATATCCCCAAGGACAGAAAATGATGACAGAGAGAAGAAAAAGGGGGATTTGTATGTGCTCTAGTCTTTGTAATGTACTGCAGTGTAGTGTTCTTCTAAATACTTTAAGGATATCATCATCTTGAACAACAGAAAGATCTGTGTGTAGAACACAGAGAAAACATTAAGATTTTTTTTAACTTCCGTAAACTGCCAAAGCACATTTTAATACATGTGATCCACCCCAATGACTTTGTCAACATATGAACTTACAATAGACAGTTTTCTTAGAAAGTTCTATGAAGGTAGTGAAATTTGACCGTTCTATGGTAGACTTATGGTAAGATTTCTGGTATACACACAAAAATAACCACATGCGTCTCACCTTCCTCAGTTCCTTTTTCTGAAAAAGAACATGTGGTGAGCATTATTGTGTAGAAAGACAGTATGATTGCACTGTCATGCGATCTGATATCATCAGTATTCATCGGATATTCCCCATGAGTCATCATTACATCATTACATTAAGAAAACTGAACAAACTGAAAATATATACCTGAGATTTTGAGAATCTCATAAACATTTAAACATTATAAACATATAGACACTTTCGGTATATGAGGAACTTGCATTTTTGCAAGTTTCTGTGTTAATTTCCTGTCCTGTTGTGTTTGTGTGACTGCGGATGACAGTTTTTACTGACATTTGTGAAGAACAATATTGTTAAGAGTCATGTAGATAATTTTCTATTCATCTCTTTTTCTAGTGTGGACTGATAGTCAGACTCAGTGCTCTTTGCCCAGTTTTTGCATCCAGTTTTGAAATGTTTGTTTGTTTGTTTGTTTTGTTTTTAGCCAGACCATACCAAACAAAGTAGTGTGTGTGCTGTCATAACCCTGGTAGATGATGGTTGAGAGTGATTGAATAGATTGAACATCACGAGTTTCATTAGGCCTACAATAATTGTTTACACAGACCTGTTTTGACATGTCTTGGTGTAACTGGTCAGTCAACTTTTGAGAACTGGGTCATGTGTGTAAGCTATAACCATACCGGTATTATGGTAAACAGAGGTAAACACAGTTATAGCATTAGCAAATTAACAATAAATCTAAAGGTTATTATGATACCAATAATGTTATGGCAGTGAGTTCATATTAATGTGCCCCCTAGAGGCTTCAATGAAAAGGAAAACATATTCTGAAGACCACATATGGCCTCTGTGGGTAGCTCCTTGGACCTCATCATGGCTTATTTTTCTTTGCATTTTCAGCTTTCAGTCTGTTTATAGACAGACAGGTGTGTTTCTTTTAAAACTATGTCCAATCAATTGAATTTGCCAAATGTGGACTCCAGTTAAAGTGTAGAAACATTTCACAGATGATTCAGAGATGAGCTGAATTTTGTGTCCTATCAACGAAGATATTTTTTTTCTCTTTTTAATAAATTTACATTTTCAAAGTTATCACAGATCTACCTTTTTGCTTTGTTTTTTAAAAATTATTTAAATTCCTTAAGCATTTTAGCATAAGGCTGCCTGTAACAATGTAAAGAAAATGGACTTGAATATTTTTTGAATGCACTGTAAAATGGTTGCCGTAATAGTGACATCGTGTGGTTATTTTGGGTACAGCAGTTTATTTCCCTTCACATGTAGTAGACTATAAGACATTTGAACAGTGAGCATACTACTGCTTCCTTAAATAATAACATTTATTCTCACTGAAAAAAAAAATTAAGTATTTTAATTAATCCCAAAAAGGTATTTTGTGACCTGTCTTTTTGTCCAGTAATCATAGTATAAAAAAAGCAAATTTCTTGAATGAAATGGCAGGTGTCAAGAGTTGAAACACCTGAACCTAATAATTGAGTATTGCATGTCCCCATGATAACTGATTGTCAATAAATAATTGGTAAATGGTAGTTGCCTGCACTATAAAATGTCCCGTTAGGCAACACTAATTTGTATTGGAGATCAAGTTTGTATGATTTTTTAGTGGTGTTGTTGAGGTGGTTAGTTGTTGCATTTTTGTTGGGCCATGGAGGGTACCACTAGCCGACTCTTAAGGTATGCTGATAAATTGTAGTATTTGTTAACAAGTGGCATTCATCTAACAAGTTATTTTTTTTCGTCTACAGTTTTTCTTTGGCACTTCTCAGTCTTTGTGTCTGTGACCATATTGGAAGTGGTAAGTTTTATCCAGGCAAATTCTAGAATTCATGTTTGCTAGCATGTCTCTTTCTTTATTTCTCCTTTATTTTCTTCTAGTTGGTGGCTTTGTCAGGAGTGGTTCTCCTGTATACTATAAGGCTGATTTCCCCATGCAGGATGTGAAGCCACGTAGTTCTTACAGCTGGTATGGTGCTGATGTATCAAATCCCATCAGTCCTCAAAGATCCAAGAGTAACACTTACAGTGCTGCACAAGTTAAGGGTGTGTATAGCAGTGTAAGCTATAGTCCTCAAAATGGCTCTTCTGGTTTTGGACCAGTGACTAATGTATATAAGCCTGGTTCTGACTCTGATGCTAGTAGTCAACTTCAAGGATCTCTGATATCTTCAGCTGGTAGTGGCAGTCTTGTTTCTGGTTCTGTGACCACTGCAATAGGTACAAGAGTGCGCATTGAGTCTCTACCTGAGCCAACACAGCTCAACTATCAAACTGTAGTACAGTCTGGTAATGAGTCTGTGGCATCTAGTAGCCAGCAAATCGTGCAGAACAGCTCCCAGTCCAGTGGCCAATTAGAAGTCAGCTACCAGTCTGCAGTGCAGCCCATTGTCAAGCCTCAGAGAAGTAGACTTCCAGTTGTTTCCAAGTTATTTTCTGGTACCAGGCCAGTCCAGACTTCAAGTTCTAGCTTTTTTGTCAAGCCTTTGCAGCAAAGAAATGAGTACTCACAACCCAGCTATCATTTGGGGCAAGCCAGCTTTGGATATGGTTCACGCTATGGTTCCACAGTTCAGCCTAGTGGTGTGCAGCTAGCACAGGCAAGATACCAACTTGTGGCCCAGCCCAGCCTCCAACAGTCATCTCAAGCCAGCAGCCAAAACTCTGAACAAGCTGTCTCTCAATCTGTGGACCATTCCAGTGGCCTGCTGTCAGCCCAAGCCAGCTCACAGTCTGACATTCAACAACCAGCCCAAGGCAGCTCCCAGTCTGTGGACCAGTCTGGCATCTGGCAACCAGCCCAAGCCAGCTCGCAGTCTGTGGACCAGTCTGGCATCTGGCAACCAGCCCAAGCCAGCTCGCAGTCTGTGGACCAGTCTGGCATCTGGCAACCAGCCCAAGCCAGCTCACAGTCTGTGGACCAGTCTGGCATCTGGCAACCAGCCCAAGCCAGCTCCCAGTCTGTAGACCAGTCTGGCATCTGGCAACCAGCCCAAGCCAGCTCCCAGTCTGTGGACCAGTCTGGCATCTGGCAACCAGCCCAAGCCAGCTCCCAGTCTGTGGACCAGTCTGGCATCTGGCAACCAGCCCAAGCCAGCTCCCAGTCTGTAGACCAGTCTGGCATCTGGCAACCAGCCCAAGCCAGCTCGCAGTCTGTGGACCAGTCTGACATTCAACAACCAGCCCAAGCCAGCTCCCAGTCTGTGGACCAGTCTGGCATCTGGCAACCAGCCCAAGCCAGCTCACAGTCTGTGGACCAGTCTGACATTCAACAACCAGCCCAAGCCAGCTCCCAGTCTGTGGACCAGTCTGTCATCTGGCAACCAGCCCAAGCAAGCTCACAGTCTGTGGACCAACAACCAGCCCAAGCCAGCTCACAGTCTGTGGACCAGTCTGACATTCAACAACCAGCCCAAGCCAGCTCCCAGTCTGTGGACCAGACTGGCCTCCAGCAACCAGCCCAAGCCAGCTCCCAGTCTGTGGACCAGACTGGCATTCAACAACCAGCCCAAGCCAGCTCCCAGTCTGTGGACCAGTCTGGCATCCA